GAGACCCACCCCTTCATTCCTGCAGTGAGATCCCTTCCCAAGCCCAGATGTTGGGGTGTCTGCGGTAGCCAGACATTCCTTCCTCTGCCTTTTTCATGCCCATCTCCTCCAGAATCCGGATGAAGTTTCCTGATACTGGCTCTCATCTTGCCAGTTGTCCACCTTAACCACCATACTGGAGGGTGACTGGTGGAGGAGGCTGGCCAAAGGCATCAGATCAAAAAAGATTGTCCACCCTTTCTCGACATACACATCCCCCAAGGGTAGGGCTAAAGGTAAAGGAGGTCAGACCTTGTCCATGGAGCAGGAGAACCACTGGGTGGTTTTGGGTAAGTGGCCCAACGGTATCCATCTCACAGCTGCCAGCTATGTGCTAGGGCATTCTAGAACCTTCCGGGCCTGTAGAGAAACTCATCTTTGAGCTGTGCACCTGGTCCATCCCTCCTTTGTAATTGTCCCCTATTCTCTCCTCCAGACCATGTGGACAAGTAGAAAAGACAAGAGCTCTGAGTCAAACAGACCAGGGCCCAGTCCAGGCCCTGCCACTAACCCTGAGAGCCTGGACATGTTACTCAACCTCTCTGGACTCATTCAGAAAACTGAGATGACATGAACTGCAAATGGAATAATAGGAACTCCTTGTGAGGGCCTCACGAGTGGTGGGGACATGGTAATGGTTTTCTTCATTCTTTTATTTCGATGGTCCAGGCCAACGGGGCATGGAAGAGAAGAACCTGGTCCCCCTCTGAGGCTTCTGCTGCTTCGAATCCTCCCAGTCCCCTCAGTGAGTCTCACCTTCCCTGGCCAGTCCCCACCCCTTCCCTGGCTCCCTGCCCGGTCACATGACTACCTTCCACTTCGGCAGAAACCATCTTCTTCGCCTCACTTGCCCCAGCTAGAGCATGTTGCTGCAGAGGCCTTTGCTCTCCTGGAACCTGCCAGGCCTGTGTTCAGCCCTTTTCAGGGTAACCTCGGCACCTATCAAACTGATAAATGGCTGATGCAGTGAGTCAGCTGTGGGGAAGCTCCCCACCCTCTTCCCGGCAATGCCTACACAGTAGCGGAACCCAGCGAGGGCCTTGGCCAAGTAAAGAAGAGTTCTTGAAGGGAGAAAGCCAGGCCCGGCAAGGATGTTAGAAGCATCTCAGGGGGACCAGCAGGTGGCGTGGTGGTTAAAGTGCTGGACACTCTCACATGGCTGACCACAGTTGAAGTGCTGGACCTGGTGGCTTGCTTGCTCTCTTGCTCTGTGTGTGTGTGTGTGTGTGTGTGTGTGTGTGTGTCTGTCTGTCTGATCAAATTAAAATAAATGAATGAATGAATGAATAAAATAAAATTTAAATAACTATTAAAAAAAAGGGCATCTCAGGGCCACCTACAGGATAACAGCCACCTCAGGCTACTTCCTCTGGTGGCTCACCCTGCTTTGAAAAGGACCCCTCCCAAGTCAGGCACATCTTTGCTAGAAAACCTTTTCCCCACCACCCATAACTTGGGGTTCAAGCCCCCTCTGGAGATGGAGGGGCTGGTGGGCAGGACATCTGGGCCTTGCCCTGCACCATCTTCCTTCGGTGCCTATGCTCATGCAGGCTCTCCACCCGAGGGCCTCGCCCTGTCTCCTGACCTCCCTCCACATGTCAGGCCAGGGAAAGTGCCCCCTCCTTCGTGAAGTCATCCTGAGTTCACCCCAGCCTAGAGCAGCCCTCCTCCCTGAACCTCTCCTCACTGCATCCTGCCATCTTACCTATAGGATGTGACTGACAGGGCTGGCCTGCCCTCTCTCCCTGTCATTCCCCATCTCTAAAACACACACGCGTGCACACACACACACGTATATATTGATGCACATATTCACATGCATATAAATGCACTTACACACACCATGACTCAAACTTAAGTTGGTTTAGTCTGCATTTGCCTTGAGCATTTCTTCACTCACTCACCCACTCATTCATTCATCCTTTAATATCCCCTCATACCAGGTCTGTGTTAGAGCTGGGGCACAATTTTCCTGCTGCTTCATCATCAGCTACTGCCTAGCATACCTTCCCAACTCCCTTCCAAGTCTGGAAGCCCTTTAAAAGACTGATTCGAGGGGCTGGCAGGTGGCATGGTGATTAAGGCACTGGACTCCCACATGGTCAACCACAGTTCGAGTCCCAGACTTGGCAGCTTTCTCTCTCTCTCTCTGGTCAAATTGAAAAATAATAATAATAATAATAAAAAGACTGACTCGAGGGCCAGCAGGTAGCCTGGTGGTTGGGGCACTGGATTGCCACATAGCAGACCATGGGTTGAGTCTTGGACCCAGTAGCTTGACAAATAAATAGATAAATACATTTTTTAAATGTTTCTTAAAAATGCAAGTATGTAAGTAAAGGACTGACTCGAGGGCCACCTCCTTGGAGAGCCTTCCCAGCTTCTCAGCACCCAAGTACATCTTCCTTCTCTGAGCCTGTGAGAGCTGACCGAGAGCAGGCCTTCTGTGGCGGGCGTGCTCTAGGTCTGCCTGCTCTAGGGTATACCCACTAGCCTCGTGAGACTACAGAGCACTTCACGTGTGGCTAGTGCGACTGGGGAACTGCATTTTTCTCTTTTTACACTTTTCACTTTAATTACTTTTAACAGAAATGGTCACGTGTGCCTCATAGCAAGCACAGGAAGGGGCAGGCCATTGTGTAACCTATCCGGTCCTTTGGTACCATGGGCCTGGTGGCAAGCAAACCTGGCTGAGTGGCCCCAGTGAGGCTGCTAAACCTCTCTGAGCCTCAGCCTTACTGGGTATGTCATGAGCGGGTTGTAATGTCTAATGAAGTGATCGAACATAACATACCAGAAAAGTCCCCAGCATAGCGCCTGGTGTCTAGGGATCGCTCAGTAAATGTGTGGAATCTGAATTTTTCTCTCTAGAAATGAAATAAGTGCTTTTAGGTGGTGATTCCTAACATGCTGTTAACCTCAAGTCAATGTGTTTTAAGGTTGTAGAACATACTCGGTTGGGCTGAAATAACGTGGACCGCCTGCCTGTCCCCCTGCAGCTTTGGGGAGGAGGAAACAGACCGCAGGGGAGGCAGAACGGCTTTCAAAAGAAATCCCTTTGTTTTCTGAGTTCCTCTGAGCAGGGAGCGGGCCCACGTTTTTTCTCAGATCCCCTACAACCCAGCGCTCCATGTATGTTTGCTAATAAAATGATCACTTTCACTGAGAATAATACTCACAATCCGATCTAATAACTATTCCATGAGTACCTGCTGGTTAGGCACTGGCTGGGAGGTGACACAGAGCCAAACACACTCAGCTCCTGACCCTGGAAATTTAATCTATCGGTAGTGGCAACCTGTGTGCTAAAGACGGCTGCTCTTTGACTCTGGGCTGATGCCCCTGGGGGGGCCGTTCTGCTCAAGCAGGCAAACTGCATCAGCAGGGCAGTGAGAGCTGAGAGGGCCCACACCCTGACCTGGACTCGGCTTTCTCTTGGCCCATCCACTTCATCGGCAGGAATCCTCTCTCTGTACTAAACCAGCACAAATAATCCGAGCACGAGACATTCAAGGCTGCCGGGGGCAGGGCTCCGGCTAATCCCTCCAGTGACCAGTTCTTGCTCTGGGTGGCTGTGCCACTCCCACCCCCAGCGCCACCACCACCACCACCGCTCTGACAAATGACTGCAGGGCCCCAGGGGCAGGGCTAGGAGACCGGTCTCCAGGAGACGTCTCCCGAGACATCCACACACTGGGGGCTCGTCCCCAGCAGGCTTGAGTTGAATGCTGCCCTCATTTCCCTTCCTGACCTGGTCTCCCACCTCCATCAGCTGGAGAAAGGACCTCCTTAGTCCATGCCTCCCAGGAGGGCATGGATATTGAAATCCTTTTCCGTCTTTTAAGACAATCAAAAATGTCCACTCTGGGGACCAGCAGTTAGTGTAATGGCTATGTCACTGGACTCCCACGTAGTCGACCGCGGTTCGTGTCCCGGACCCGGTGGCTTAAACTCACGCTGGGCGCGTGTGCGTGCGTGCCCAAGATCCCAAGAGGAGAATGGAGGAGAAGGGATTGCGGTGTGGCCATCCCCCCTGGGGGGTGATTTCTCGCTTTCTGTCTCTCTGTCTGTCTGGCGAACGCACGCACCCTATAGCAAAAACCTCTCCAAAAAAAAAAAAAATGTCCACTCTGTAGTGAGCCCCAACACACACATTCTCTCTCTCCCTCGCTCTCTCTCACACACACACTCACACCGTACAATGGATGGTTGAAAGGCCTCCCGTTCCACGGAGTTGCCTTTGCACTCTTGGTCTTATTTTTGTTATTTTATCTACGACAAGTGAAGAGAGAAAATTCTCCCTGGTGTGAAGAAGGAATTCCTGGTCAGTTTAGTTAGAGGTGGTGGAAAGGGGGGCCGGGATGAACGCCCAGAGCTTAGGTATGAGGCCCAGAACCCTGTGACGAACAGAACGGTCTGTCTGGAGAAACTGACAGCTGCTGGGGGAGACAGAGCTTGTGTACTAAGATGGGGCCGAGCATGAAGGAGGGGCCCTGAACTCCAACCTGGAGGCCCAGGAAAGACTCTGTGGAGGAAGTGACCACGAGGCTATTGTCTGAAGGACTGGGAGAACTGCAGGAGGACTAGAGAGAAAGCACTTCTGCAGGAGGAGCTCCCTGAGCAAGGACACACGTCGAGGCAGAGGAGAGACAGAGGCCGGGAGCATCTCGGGTGCAGATCATCTGGGCTTTCACCTCAGATAAGGGGAGCCTTGGTGGAGCTCTCTGCAGGGACGTGACATAATCATATTTGCCTTTTAGAAAGACCTGAGGGGAGAAGACTCAAGTAAGGGAGACAGGAGGCTCTTCAGCAATGTAGCGTGGAGACGGTGAAGCGGCCAGGAGTGGTGGAGTAGCAGCAGCGGGGAGAGAAAACGGCGACTGGAGACACTGAGGAAGTGCTTCTTGCCCAATGGCCTCAAGGGAAGAGAGGAGAGAGGAAAATGAGACGATGTTTCTTACTCAGACAGGATGGCAGATGACAGTGTCATTCCAGATGTGGGAAGTCCAGGAGAAGGAGGCAGGGCAGAGGAGGGAGGACAAGGGGGTCCATGCGGGACTGCAGACCATCCGAGCAGAGACGTCCAGCAGGCAGCTCGGTGTTCTAGAGTTGAGAAAGAAGCGTGAGTGTCATCCCTGCACCAGGAGGTGAGACTGCCATAAACGGGTGACAGCTAGGGGACAAGAAGGCCCAGGACAAGTCCTGGAAGCACCAACATCTGAGGGCTAGACGAGGGTGATGAGAAACCCTAGTGGACCGTGTCAGGGAAAGCAGGGCCATCACAAGGCCATTAGAGGAGAGGGAGCCAGTGTGCCTCCAAGGCTGTAGGTACAGCAGTTCCAGGTCCGGAAGGTCCATGGGACAGGAACTTGCCTAGCACATAATTAGTGCCCAAGAAATCATCACCGGATGAGGTGAAAGCCTCAGGTCAGTCACAAGCTGGCAGGTGAGAGGCCTCAGTGCATTTGTTTCCTGGGTGGTAAACCGGGCCAGAGGGGAAGGCTGCTCGACTGGTTTGGTCCTGGGATCTCTGCCTCTCCTCCCGGAGGTGGAGGTGCTGCTGGAGCCTCTTCCCCTTATTCACTCACCTTCTGGGAACTGGCAGTATGAATCTCACAGAAGCGCCAGAGAGCCCCCCAAGTTTTATAACAGGCGCTCGTGGCACAAATTGCTGCAGAGGAAAAAGTCACCCCTGGGAAACTCATCTAAGAACATATCATGAGGTGGCCTATTTTAGGCCTGAAATTACACAGGAAGGCCTGGCAGAGGAGACGTGCACAGGGCTGAGCACAGCGACAATTAGTGCTAAATATCAGGTGTCACATCTTTTCCGAACACACAGCCTTCGGTGTGTGGCTGCAGAGACAGGCAGGAGGCAGGTGAATTAGAGCCAAGTACCGGGGGAGAGGCAGACACCCAAGGAGGGGAGGAGCAGGGAGAGGAAACGCTGGAGGGGGCAGTTTCTCGGGGAGGTGGCAGTCACCTTGGGCAAGGTGCCTCTCAAGGTAGAACTGGGACATGATCCTGCCCGACCTAGTTCAGGGAAACTCCAGATCCTGGACAGGAGGAACCAGCAGAGGAACGGGGCTTTCCTGGGGTATAGCCACCTCGTACAGTGTCCCTAGGCCAGGTGCGACTTAGTTTCGTCTGTAGGGCCTCACCTAAAAGAAATCTGTTTCCCGCTAGTAAGGCTTTCGTTTGTTTAGAATTCTTCCATAGGGTGAGTGCACTAGGCATGAGTTTTTCAAGCCATCAGGTCCAGGACTCAAACCACTAAGTTAGCCATGTGAGATCCAGTGCCTTAACCACCATGCCACCTGTTGGCCCTGTAAAGCTTTTTTTTTTTTTTTAAATAGATTTTTGTTATAGGATGCATGTGCTCGCTGGAGAAATGAAGAGACAGAAAACAAGAAATCACCCCCCGGGGGGATGGCCACACCACAATCCCTTCTTCTCCATTTTCCTCTTGGGATTCTGGAAACGCACGCACACAGGCCTGGTCTGAATTTCAAGCCACTGGGTTTGAGACTCACACTGTGGCTGGCCATGTGGGAGTCCAGCTCCTTAACCACCACGCCACCTGCAGGCCCCATAAAGCTTTTTTAAAATCACAATAATTACACACAGTTTAGCTGTGTGGTACGATAGAAGGTCTGTGGCTCAGCAAATGGACTGCACCCACATTCCCATTGCCAGCTGATAACTTTGAGCCAGACACCTTGCCTCCTGGAGCCTCAGTTTATTTATTTGTAACACCTCACAATACTTCATTTCAGTCTAACAGCTGGGGAGGGGGAGAATAGGTCAAATTAGATCATTGTACGTTGAGAGGCCTCTATAGCAAGTCACCCCACCTTATAAAGCTTGCTGGGAATTTGACTCCCAGCTCAACTAAGGGAACCACCGGGGCAGCTAGCCCTTCTGTCTGGTTCCTCTTGTTAATTCTCAGTGACAGACATGTTATCTAGAACACATTAACATGGTATGTAAAAGGGAACGTTGCAGAAGACAGTTTCCCATCCATTAGATCTAGGAAAAATCTTTTCCAATGTGCACTGTTATTAAGAGTCTACTCTGCTTCAGGGACCAGCAGTTAGTGCAATGGCTATGTTGTTGGACTCCCACGTAGTCAACCGCGGTTCGCGTCCCGGACCTGGTGGCTTAAAACTCACGCCGGGCGCATGTGCGTGCGTGCCCAAGATCCCGAGAGGAGAATGGAGGAGAAGGGACTGCGGTGTGGCCATCCCCCCTCGGGGGTGATTTCTCACTTTCTGTCTCTCTGTCTCTCTCTGTCTGGCGAACGCACGTGCCCTAGAGCGAAAACCTCTCAAAAAAAAGTCTGCTCTGCTTCCAACCTGTCCAACCCTAACTGTGTCATGGCGTGAGTGTGCTGGTTGAGAGTGAAATCACATCTTAGTCATCACATTTCAATGCTAGCTCCCGGTGGGCAAGGGCTTGGTATGGTTTTCTCAGAGCTGCGTCCTTCACACCTAGAACAGGCCTTGGCTTCACAAGGCTCCACGAGGACTGGTAAATGAACAAATGCTTTCTAACCCTTAGCACAATACTAGGCAGTCACAACTGTGTGTTGAATGAATACTTGATGTTTTTAATTAAATTTATTTTATTAATGATAGTGCATGCACACACACAAAAGAGAGAACATTTTCTCTTTCTAATGTCCTTTTCTAACATTCTCAAATGAGGCAGTATAGCAAGGTGGGCAGATAGATAAGTTCTGACATCAGAAGGCCGGGTTTGAATTCTGGGTCTCTATTTACAAGCTGGGTAAACTAGTGTAAGCTG